GGTCTAAAGGGCCCTTTTTGCCTTCGTTGGGGCATAGTCTATAGGCAGGGGGTGTTCCTGCTGCTGTGGCCACCAGGACGAGGGAGATGCAGCTTCTGTCTGAGCCTAGAGGTGTTTGTCCATTTCCCCCGATCCCTGTCCCATGGTGGGCACTTGGCTGATCATTGGGACATTTAAGGACTCTAGCACCCACCCTGTGGGCCAATTCCCTGCTCTTGGGCAAGGCTCTATGGGAATTCCCATCCTAACTTCTACAGGAAGATGGTAGGAATGGGGAGTGAGCGAAGGTCCCCATTCTATCCTTTAGGCTTTTTAAAAATTATTTTTTAATTTTTGATATAGGGTCTCACTGTGCAGCTCAAGACTCCTACTGAGTGATCTTCCCATCTCAGCCTCCCCAGTGCTGGGATTACAGGAGTGCGCCACCACACTGGGTTTCAGTGGCCAGCACTGCACACCCAGAACATGTGGTACTGGGGATCGAACTCGGGTCCTTGCATTTGCCAGGGAGGTGCTTAGACCGTGAAGTTATTTTAAAAAATTTGTTCATTTATTCATTCATTCCTCCACATTATTGAGTGTACATTGGTATTTATCAGGCCTCATGGTCTGAAGTGAAGTCACAGGCTATGCCCTTGGGAGCTCAGTGTGGCGGAAGCAGGTGCAGTGTGAGTGGTACTGGGAAGGCACCAAGCAGACCTGGCCTAGTTAGTGTTAGGGAAGGCTTCCTGAGCCAAGGCCTGAAGGAGGCATGCAGATCAAGCTGGGGAAGGGATGGGATCCCTCTGGTGTGCAGAGAGGAGAAGGGGCTGGGACAGTTGGGAGAGGGAGCAGAATCCAGGTGCAAGCTCATGGGTGGGTGAGAAGAGGTTGATGGTGGAACAGGGAGTGAGAGGAACCCAGTGCCACCAGCTATGCATGGGAAAGCAGGGGTCCCTGACTGCCTGGCCTCGCTTTGGGCTCAAGCAAAGGGCTGTGTGAAGCTGCAGATTATGGCGGGGGGGAGGGGGGAGAACATAAAGACAGGGACTTTGCAGTGGCATGGCTTGGATGTGTCCATGGGACACTGGGGCATTGACCAGGCAGCTGGGCTACAGCTTCACACTCGGGAAGGGGTTGGGGATGAGTGAGTCAGAGCCCTGTGAGCGGGATCTTGCACTGACCTTAGCCAAGGGGCTGGGATGTGATCGTGACCTGTATGCTAAATGCAGCCATTGTTAAAAATTAAGTTATGTAAGCTTATGATTAAGCCACAAGTTAAAAGCAAGGGTAGTCCCCCATGCCCCGCTGGCCCCACCCCCGGGGTGCACTGAACTGGTGACTGAGTCCAGGTGTGGTGGCGCATGCCTGTCATCCCAACCCTGGGGAGGCTGAAAACAAGAGGGTCATGATGAGTCTGAGCTGTGTAGTGAGACCCTGTACCAAATACATAAAATGGGGAAAAAAAGTGCAAGGATAATTTAATAAAAAATAGTAAGAGAAAACCCCAATGAAAACAGAAAGGAAGTAAGAGTAGAAACTAATAAAGGTAGATAAACTAGAGAAAAATCAATTAAATTAAAAGATGGCTTTTTGGACAAGAGACACATGTCACCAACATCAAGAATAAGAGGGAACAGACTTTAGGCTCTCCAAGCATTAAAGGGCTAGTGAATGTACTAAGGCAGCTCTAGATAAGGAAGTTGTAAAGCCAGTATAATGAAAGTGGTGAAAAAGTGGTTTTTTACCATGTCAGTTTTCTATTGCTGCTGTAACAAATCACCATGAACTCAGTGTCTTAAAACATCTAAATTTATTTTCTTACAGTTCCAAAGTCTGACACAGTTCTCAGCATCAGACAGAGCTACAGTTCTTTGTATGTTCTGGGCAGGGTCTGTTTCCTGCCTTTCCTCAGCATCCAGAGCAAATTCTTTGCCTCAGAGACCTTTTCACCTTCTAGGCCAGAAAAAGCAGCTCAAATTCTTTTCATATCACAGTGCTCTGAACTTACGCTCTTTTCTCTCTTTTTTTTTTTTTGGGCTGTGCCGTGGACTGAACCCAGGACCTTGAGCATGCTAGGCAGGCTCTCAGCACGGAGCTGAATGCCAGCCCTTGGTTTTCTACTGTCAAGGGCCATTATGATTCCTTTGGATGTACCTGGCTAATTCAGGGTCATTTCCCAGTCTTAAAACCAGTATGTCTGTTGGCAACACCAGTTCATTTGCAAGCTTCATTCCTCTTGGCAGGGAGTGTGATACATCACTGGCCTGGCACTGGATACCAGCATGTTCTATGAGCCATTATTCTGCCCGCCACAAACACAACTATTAAAATCCTCTTGGGGGGCTTGCCTAGTAGCTCAGTTGTTTAAAATGCCGCTTGGGCAAATGCATTCAGGCACAGGGGACTGCAGTTCAATCCCCAGCCCCATAAACTGCACCACAACCGCCCTCAAGGCTGCAAGAACTAGCCAATCCTTTTCCAATTTTTGGGCTGGCTAGACAGCTCAGCGGATTAAAGCACCTGCTCAGGCAGACACAGGGGTTGGAGGTTCAATGCCTGGTCTGCCATGGGACACGCTGAGATGGCAACTGAGACTGGGTGTGGTGGCATAGGTCTATAATCCCAGCACTTGGGAGGCCGAAAGCAGAAAAACATTGTAAGTCCAATCTACATAGTGAGACCCTGTAGACCCTGCACTGAATATACAAAAAAAAGAAAAAAATCATCTCAAGAACAAATAGATGATTTCTGGGGAGATATATCGACTCGGCTTAAAATCTTCCCACAAAGAAAACCCCAGGCCCAGATGTTTTCATAGGCAAATTCTCCCAAATTACAGAGTCTACATGATCTCCTCCAAAACAAAACTAAACAAAGCACTTCCAGAGTCGTGACACAAGGTCAGTATGACAGATACAAATATCAAAACACTGTGAGAAAAGCACCCTGTAGACCAAGGAGAGCCAGGAGGCAACAGGCGGGAAATGGTAGAGGCTGTGGTAAGGGTACTAATATCCTCAGTGCAAAAATCTCCAATAAAGTATTAGTAAGTCAAACACAGCAGTGTATAGAACAATCAACCTAACCAAGTGGGGTTTGTGTGGGGAAGTGAGACAGGTTTCACTCCAGTCACCATCTGCACAGACTGAAGAAAAGGCTACAGCGTCATCTCAACAGATGCAGAAGAACTTGGCGGCAAAATCCAATATCCATCCACAATAAAAGCCCTCGGCAGGTTCAAAATAGAAGGGGATTTCCTTAACCTTGTGAAGGGAAACTATAAAACCCTGTACCTGACATCAGACCTAATAGTGGAAGACTGAATCCTTTCCTCTGAGACTGAGAACAAGATTTTACTGAAAATCTGGGTGGTACCTTAGGCAAGAAAATGAAATAAAGAGCGTACAGATTGAGGAAGAAATAAAGCAAGATCTTACATGACAGCATCGTCAGTGTAGAAAATCCTGTGGAAGCTGGGCCTGGTTGACAAATGCCTCTAAATCCAGCACTTGGGAAGCTGAGGCAGGAGGTTCGCTGTGAGGTGGCCAGGCTAGGTCATGAGCTTTTTGACCCTTTGGCCTCAGCCTCCCGTCACTGGAATCACAGGTGTGTGCCACCATGCCCACCTGCCTTTTCTATCAACAAAGTACTTTTCGCCCACTGTGGCTGTAACTTGCTATTTTGAGGTTTTACTGCAAATTTAGCACATACAACTTTTTATTTACAATTCTCAGATTTATTCTTATTGTAGAACTTTGCAAAACCTATCCTGATTTTTTTTCCTTCCCTTACCAAGTACAGAACTTTTTGCCTCTTCACTTGAGAAGATTTCACAGCTTCTCTGGCATATCAGAATTCTAGCATCACTACTCTTGCATCTTGGGGTTATTATTAAATGTTTTTACACAAAGGTTGTGATACTGTGACGGCGACCTAATAGCTGAGGTGACTCCATGTTGACGGGCAGGTGGTGCCCTCAGCATGCATATGCTGGATGTGGGATGCCTCCTGTCATCAGCAGGATAGAGACGCACGCTGTGAGTTCATGCTACTCAGAATGACATGCAGTTTCAAAACTGTAGAGTTCTTACAAAATTTAAGGTAGGGATTGGGGTTGTAGCTTAGTGGCCCAGTGCCATAAAAAAGTAAAGGATGTCCTGATGACACTAGAAGAGGACAAGGATCTTCATGGGGACAGGGTAAGACTTGCTTATAGTGGGGTTCTAGGGCTGCAATGGTCAAAATCATAGACTTATGCAGCCAAGTATGGATTTTACCTAATGAAAATTCCAACCTAATTAAAACTCCCATTTCCTGGTTACCACACCCCATCAGGGTCTGTGCTCTGGAGGTGCCGTGTGCCTGCTAGCCCCATCTCCATGCCAGGGGGTGCCCACCTTGGCTTGGAATCTGACCTGGTGGCTGGATCCATACCCACAAAATGGGGATCAGCTACAAATCCAGGCTTTACTTGGTTTTGGGGCCAGGAACAAATTCAGGGCCTCGTGCTTGCCAGGCAGGCGGCTGTACCGTTGAACTACATCCCTAGCTCTGAAGCTTAATTTGTTTTGCTGATAGTCTGGACTTATGTAATGAAGAAAATGTTGATAATGCCAATTAAACTTTCTTGGAAGTGTGCAGTTTATGGTAGTTAACATCATCAATAGCACTGAAAATGGAGGGAATTGTCTTATGGCATTTGACTGCTGTCTGCTTTGGCAAAGAAGTCAACTACTGCTAACAAGTGTAACCGTAACATGTTTTTCTTTCACTTTCATCTTACTCCTTAAGCTAAATGAAAATAGCAAATAGCACTCATGTCACAGGCTCATTCATCAGTGCCAACCAGAGGTTGGCTATGGATACAGAAATATAGCAAAAATTAGCAAATATGGACAATCAGTAATCAGCTAGGTGGGCTTTATGGTGGACAATTTCATATTTTAATATTTGTAAACTGTGCTGTAATTCTAAAGGGGTGTCTTTGTGCATTCTCTTCTGGCAGCCCATGGCCCAGCTCAACCCACACCCAAGCCCTGGCTGTCAACAGTACCAAGTCCCGAGAATGCAGAGGAGGAGGTGCAGGCCCAGGCCTGTGATGAAGGGTGCAGAATGGTGAACACCTAGGGAGGTGCAGCAGGAAAAGGTGGGCACTAACATCCTGGCCACCTAGGGCTCCAGTCCAGATGGTTGGAACCTAAAGGCATGAGAGAGACCCTGTCCAAAGCCCGCTGGGGTGTGAGGTGTCACCTGAGTCCACTTCAGCTGGGAGGCCCCAGGGGTCTTAGTGACACCAACACCTTTCTGGTCTTGCAGATGAAATGGGAAGATGCAACTCTGTTTCTCTTGGTGGGAGATGGTACTGGCCTGGGTGGAGAGGTGGATGGGGCTGGAGCTGGAGCCGGAGCCAGAGCCAGAACACCAGTGCTGTCGTGGACTTGCAGAATCCACACCAGGCCATGGGAGCCCCAGAGTTAGCCAGAGAGGTGGGTAGAGCCACCACGGCAACAGAACAGATGTGCGGGTGGTGGAGAGCATAGCCCCAGCAGGGTGGAGGACAATTAGATTCTGTCCCTCACCCCCAATTCTGGCCACTTCCAGGGAGGGACTGACCAGAGGCAGAGCCAGGGCAGTTCCCTCATCCTCTGTGCTGTATCAGATCCTGGTCCATGCGGAAAACAGCAGTCACAGGATCTCTGGGCGGCACCTGAGCCTTTGCTTGGGCTCTGCAAGTCCTCTAGTGCCTCCTCAGCCACCAGCTGCTTATGCTCCAATCTAAAATCAGTTCATGGCTGGAGATATTCGGTAGCTCTTTGCTGGACTCTGGGAGCAAACAGGACACATGCTCGCTGAGGAACACATGCTTTCTAGTGAAGCCACACTGTGAAGCCATAGGGTGGGGCACTGGAGCAAAGGGTGACGTTAGGTGATCCATGCATATATACTAAAATGTGATTTTACTATTAGAAGAATGCACTTAGCATGTTAAGCATAATTTGATACTGCTTCAGATGAAGCTATCTTGAAAGACTTAAACCAGGCATGGTGGTACATGTCTGTAGTTCCTGTTGCTCGGGAGGCTGAGACAGGAGGATGCTTGAGCCCAGGAGTTTGAAGTCAGCATGGACAGTGTAGCAGGGTCTTTACATGATGGCATTAAGTTTTTTTTTTTACATTTATTTATTATGTGTGTGTGTGTGTGTGTGTGTGTGTGGCCAGCTCAGCCCACCAGGGGGTGGGGCGGACTGGCATGTGGTGCTGGGGGATTGAACCGTGGTCCCTGTGGTTTACTAAGCTTGTTCTAAGTAGGTGCTTTAGACCACTGAGCCATCTCACCAGCCCCGATGGCATTAAGTTTGATAAGATATAACAAAGGTGGTACCTGAGGGAGATGTCTGCAATGGGCTTCCTGTCACAGCACAGGTGCCTTGGGAAACGCCTTCAGAGAGCCGTGTGCTGGACATGGAGACAGGTGGCCAGCATGGCTGGCAGACAGCCCGAGGACCTGACAGAGGTGAGACCTGGTCAGACTCATGGCTCCAGGAGTGAGGTCAGTCTGGTGAGCCAGGGCACTGCAGGACCTTGGCTCTACAGAGGGAAATGGCGGGCTGAGCTCAGGAGGGACTAGTAGGAGTGCACTGTGGCGACACTGGGTGAAACAGCTGATGACCCTGTGGACCCAGCACTCAGGCCTGTCATTGGAGAGCAACAGAAGCTGTGAGAATATCCCAGTCAGTGAGGGAGAGGGGCCACAGTGGCAGGCGGCCCAGGAGTGCAGTGGCTTCTCAGTGCTCTCTCTGCAGGTGTCCTGGGTGTGGATTTGGCAGTGAGCAGAATAAAGCTGCTGGCCAGAGTGAGGAGCACACGATGGAAACCAGGGCTCAGCAGTGTGAAAGGCAACAGCAGGTAGACCTGATAGGTAATCCGATGAGGTAACTGGGACACAGCAGGAGGTGCTCAAGGAAACACTAGGATTTCTCTCCAAGAAGCACATTCCAGGCAGAGGCGCATGAAGGTCAGGCTGAGGCATCACGCTTATTTACGCAGGAAGAATGGGGAACAGGCGCAGTAGCAGCATGACAAAGAATGGTGAGAGGCCAGCAGGAGAAGGAAGCTAGGGTCATCACTGAGGGCTGTAGCTTTTACTGAGGGACACCTAGCCCACTGGAAGGGTGCCTTGCGCTGGGGCTGCTGCCAGACAGGTCCACAGCCTAGAATGAACCAAGGAAGGTTTGAGGGACCAAGATGGGGACGCACTTTCCAGGTTGGCTCTGAAGAACACCGCCATTCCCACCAGAGCATCCTTCTACAGCCTAATGGGTACTCAAAGGCAGCCCCGGCAGTGAGCACCATGCTGCGGAGGCTTCTGCTTCCAGATTCTCCAGTTATAGAAACTCTGAGGTAATGTTTTAGATGCTGAATTTTGAGCAGTTTCTCTGTAACAGATAGCTGATAAGGAGTTTCCATGCATTTTTTCATTTTTCAGTACCTGGTCATAGAAATGAGGGGTGGGGGGTGGAACAGCAGGGAGGGCAGTGGGCACAGTGGGGAGCAGGGAACAGACAGAAGGGCATCTGAGATACTGCTTCCTGGGATAATCAGGCCAAATCACAAGAGAAAGGAACAGAATCAGCTACTGACCTATTGCTCAACAGATGGGGGATTGGAAGCACCCCTATGAGGAAGATAGAAAGCCAAAGTAGGCATACTGAAGTCAACTCTGTAGTTTAGAAAGGGGTGTTCCCTGGTGCTATTGTGGTTTTTGAAGCAGGGTTTTTATTCTACAGCACAGATTGGCCTAGAACTTGTGGCCATCCGAGCCTAACGAGGTCTGGGGCACCACACTTGGTGCCTGTTGTATGGTGATGCTCGTCAGGTGGCAATGAAGACAGACCCTGTCTGCGGGACAGTGTAGAAGGCAGTCCCTTGGACAAAGGGGGTGGGGGGTGGGGGGGTTAGGCAAGGTAAGAGCTGAATGCCAGGGTAGAAGCCAGAATGGTGACAGCAGAGGATGTTGCTAAGAAGGGACAAGGGATTCAGGAGGGTTTTGATTTCTAAGGTAGCTATTCCCACAATGTGGGTGAATGTTGAGGGAATACCGCAGAAGCTTCTGATGCAGGTGGGACACTCAACAGGACAAGGGGTGCAGTGCTCCCCCTGGGCCAGCGGGAACCTGCAAGGCCCTGCAGACACTGTGGTGAGTCTATGGTGTCTATGAGTTCTTAAAGGCAATGACGACTTTGGACTCTTAGACTTAGCTTCATACTAGACTTTATTGAGAAAAGTTAGTGTAAAAAACATTCAAATTCATAAAATTTAAATAAGACAGCAAAATTATAACTTGTAGTATAGTAATCGCTATAGTAATCACAAATAAGGTAAAAGACTAAATTACTGCCTAAGCAAAAACTACTGTCAGGCTTCAGCTGCAAGCCCAAGGGAGGAAACACTGTAATCATTAGAGTGAGCCCAGTGATAAAATTTGCCTTTGGAGCTGGAAGAAAAAGCAAGTTCTGGCTATGGCATCACCACAGCCTAACCCCAGAAGAGCAACTTTAGTAATGTCCTGCAGCAGAGTACATTAGTAATTGTAGCCATGCATTGTAACTCTGATTTCATTTCATAAAGAGTAATGTTTTCTTCAAGATACATTGTTACTGTTGCACGTAGTTTA